TACAAATACCCCCACCGAATGACACTGCATCTCTCAGAAGGGCATTAGGTATGTTTGCCCATTATTCAAAATGGATTCCCAAATTTTCCGAAAGGGTCCACACATTAGCTCATGTCAACAATTTTCCATTGAACGAAGATGCTTTATCTTGTTTTGAAAATCTCAAATCTATAGTTGCAAAGTAATCTGTTCACGCTATCAACCAAAATATGCCATTTGTTGTTGAAACTGATGCTTCAGAACACTCAATTGCTGCTACCTTGAGTCAGGATTCCAGACCTGTTGCTTTCTTTTCAAGATCACTTAATTCTAGTGAGCTGAACCATTCTGCTGTGGAGAAAGAAGCATATATTGTTGAATCTCGAAAGAAGTGGCACCATTTTCTTATAGGAAAGCCTTTCACAATCATTACTGATCAAAAGTCTGTAACATTTATGTTCAACACGAAGCATTCCAGCAGATTAAAAATGAGAAAATACAAAGATGGTGACTTGAATTGGCACCTTATAAATATGACATTGTGTATCGACCAGGAAAAGACAACCAAGCAGCGGGTGCTTTATCGCGCATCTGATTTTGTGCTACTACGACGGCGTCAAAACAGATGCATCAAAACTCAACTCACTTCACACTGCACTTTTTCATCCAGGGGTAACAGGTATGTTTCATTGGATAAAATCGAAGAATTTGCCTTTCTCTCTCAATAAAGTCAAGACTATGGTATTGCTTTGGCTGTAGACATCGAATATTGTAGGCAAATTTATGCTGTCAGTGTCAAACAGAAGTCACTGTCATTCCCATGTTAATTTTATTGTTTTTTTAACATTATGTGTACAATTTATGTTGATTAAAACCTTATATCCTAGGTTTTGCTTTATCATTTTAAGATCTAAATTTTATAATTCAACTTATAGATGGCATATACAGTACAGGCTCGGATCTAAACATTTAGCCTTGAGAGGGGAACTTCTAACTTGAGGGGGAACTTCCAATGAAACACCAATAAAAAGATAAACCCAAATTACACAAAAGACATACATAATAAATTTTCTTTAATTTTGGACCTAATTGAGGGGAAAGAATTTCCTTATTCCTCCCCCTTCGTGTATGTGCTCTTGATATAGTAAAGGAGTAAAAAGTTATAACTTGTTAAATTGATGGTATCAGTAAAATGCCGCCACGGAAAAATAGAAGGAGGAATTCCCCGTTTCTATGACACGTAGGACCTTAATTTTTATTTAATGGATGTAAGAACTCAAATTTAAAGTTTAGTTTAGTTTAGGTTAGTAAAATTATACATGTACTGTTAAAAAGTACAAAAATAATATTTATATTTATTAGCTACTTACCCTTAGAAATTTTAATAGCTTCATTAAATGATATTGTAACAGAATGAATTATTATTTTGAAAAAAATTAAATTATGTTTTACATAATAATATACACTTCATAATAAATATGGTAAATTCTTACGAAATAATGGTAAAATTCAATAATTTTTTTTTGGTATTTTATGATTTTTGCGGCATGTGAAATTAGTACAATTATTATTATTTTAAATGAAATGAGGTTGAATGCTCGAATAAATGAACTTAGAAAATAAGGCTATTATCGAGCACAAGTTAAGTAAATCAAGCCCAAGTACTTTCGCTTAAAATAGCATCTTCAGGAGCATCTGAAATAAGCCAAGAAAACGTTTTTTAGATGAAGTAAATTAGTTAACTTCGATAAAAAACTCGAAGTTAATGGATGAAAAAAGTTTTTGAGATTAACGTTTTAGACTTACTTCGTCAAAATGTGAACTATCCGGCAAGCGTAGAATGTGGAAACATTAAAAATAACATAAAATTGTACAAAACACTACACTAAAACGAGGACAAACAGTTTAAAATTACTTAAAGATTCTACGCTACATTCTCTGTCAGTATCTGGAGGGATAATGATCTAAGCGGAAATGATACGGTGATATGTGACATATAACAACTTTGATAGGCAGTCAAAGTTATGGATCTGTGATCAGCAAATATTAAAATTCTGTATAAGTTGTCATTGGGCAAAGGTCCAACTAGAACTACTACTGAAAAAATCAGCTGATGAAGTATGACATATAGAATATTTTGATTTAAACTAGATTGCATAATCCAGATCTCACACTCACACCCGTCTGTAATAATAAGGTTGTAGGTTTGCGGCTAAATGAAGTGTACATAAAGTGTAAATGAAAGAAATAGACCAAACAATCTATTGGACAGTGGGTAGTTGACTACAATAAAATAGTCTACCAGGCACTGTCAATACTGCAAAACGAGAAGAAAATTGACTATGAAATTGAAATATTAAAATTAAATCAGAACTATAAAACTAATATATAATAGCATTACTAAAGACCAACCGACCAACAGGTGTTGAAATATAAAACTGTGGAATTACATTATACATTAAGAATCTACCAATTTCAAGCTCTGTTCAGCATTACTATTGTATTTAACAATTTACACAACTAGCTTGCTCAGATTCAATTGATCCACAGTTGGAGTTGATTTCACTCTCCATACCTCTGCATAATCTACATATACCATTGAGAAATATTGTTTATTGCTGTTCGAATTATCTGTTGTAATTCTTGAATATTTGCTAGTTTTGTTTGATACACAACATTTTTCAGATGGCACCACATAAAATAATCCAAAGGATTGAAATCTGGTGACCTCGCTGGCCATTCAACAGGTCCACGTCTGCCTACCTTCTAACATCTACAGCATAATGTGGAGGTGCACCATTCTGTTGCAACCATAAACTTTGATAAATATGATAAACTATGATAAATATCCAGAAAGACCTATAACGCGTTCAACAGTAAGATTGAACAACGGTAAAAGTTAGTAAAACAACGGTACACAAACTATTAAAAGTTGAAAAATGGCATCCTCATAAAATCAAACTTGTGCAGGAATTAAACGAAGATGATCCAGATAGAAAAATGCAATTTTGCGAAGCAATGATGGATAACTGCCACCGAGATCCTCTCTTGGTACAAAACATAATTTTTTCTGATGAGGCCGCTTTCACGTTAAATGGCGAGGTTAACCGTCAGAATTGTAGATACTGGGCAAAAGAAAACGCCCACTGGATGCGTGAGCATTATATACAATACTCGCAAAAGGTAAATGTATGGGCTGCAATTGTAAGAAATCCAATCATCGGACCCTACTTTATCGAAGGTAATTTAAACGGAGCAACGTACCTTAAGTTTTTAAGGGGATATCTCGTACCTAATTTTCGTAATTTGTTTCCCAGCAGACGTAATCCTGGAGGTTTTGATGAAAGTTAATGGTTGCAACAGGATGGTGCACCTCCACATTATGCTGTAGATGACAGCAATAAACAATATTTCTCAAGACAATAAACAAGATTCAACAAGAATTTGTACAACGTTTGGGTTACTGTAAAATACAGCAAGGGCTGCAGTTCGAACATTTATAAAGTCATGTATTTCATCATATTCTGTCTGCTAGACAATAAGTATTTTTGATAATATTGTGAATTTAACTAGCGCGTTACTTTATGAACGCACACAAAACTATTGTATTTTTGTCCACTCTGTACCAATTTGAATCCACATGTGATACATTGTTTTAATCAGCTGAGCTAGTGTAGTCTGAACATAGAGATAAAATGGGAGTGTTCCCTTTAAAAAAATGACGGTGACGTCATTACTCCAAAGTAATTTACATTGTATATTAGAATAATATTTTAAAATACGGTAAATTAAAATCAAAAATCGACCTGTTTCAGGATTATTACTCAAAATGTTCTGTTCAGCTAAAATAGAATTTGTTCCATACTTTACGGACACAGTGTATATAAAATATCAAAGTTATTATAAATGTCTATAAGCTAAAATGTCAGTCCTTTTTTTATAGTAAAAAAATATTTTGTTAATCTTCTAAAATTGTTAAAAAACACAAAGCAAAATTAGCTGTACGTCTTCGCGGATTTTTATCAGCTATCCCTTATATACCTTTTAGAACCTTCTAATAGCTGTATAAGATTTTTACGTGACATCAATAATTTTTTTACAGATAGACGGGTCTAAAGCTTGTCGCTCACTTATGCACTGCACCGCGAAGCGAAGCGCGGAGAAAAAGGTTGTTATGAATTTTCTTCATGTAGTTAAATATACTCGCGCGTATATGCTCGAAGCAATGCATGCACAGCTAAGAGAAGGCACAGATCTCAATGGTAGAATCCTAGGCGAAGAAATTCTGTTCGGCGCGCTTCGCATTGCACTAGTGAGCGGAGGTCTGCGGAAGTCATGCGGAAACTTTTCCGAACTTCGTTTGTCATCGACTACTTTCGACGTGTCTCGTATATATGTGCTAATATCGCTAATATACAGTTGGCTGGTATTTGTATATTACACCTGTAGGTACTAATCTAAAGTGAAGACAGCATGGATGACGAAACATTTGTTTTGATTGTTTAAAATTATATAGAAGTATATGATGTATCGGATCACAACTAAAACAACCAATTACACGACGAAATTTTACATACTGCCACTGTGTATTTGGTTGCAATAGAGCGACGAGTGCAGTAAATTTTTCTGGGCTTATTCTATAATACTGAAAAAAATTCTCCGTAAATTTCCCTTGTTAAATTTATCTTATAAATCCAAGGTTTTCTTTTACGATTCATATTGTGTTCTTCTTCATACAGCACATGCAACATCGAAGTGTTCTTTTTGTGATCTGTACCTCCTCGTATATATAAGCGAAAAACTGTGCACATATTGGTACTCATTTCTAAACTTCGTCGCGCAGTGTTTCGCTTCTCTCTGCTTCACCGCGCTTAAGTGAGCGACAAGCTTTAGTCGTTTTCGTTTGGTGCCAGCAATCTCTCTATTTCTTGTGCAGCAATCTCTCTTGATAATTGGTTAAATAACAAATGTATATGCTTAAAAAATGTAGAACACAAAAATGCAATCACTTTTTTTTACAGTCATATACTCCTTCAATTATGGAAGCTTCCAAGGAAAATATTGAAACAATGAAAACTGTCGTTGACAACTTTAATGCTGTAGGTGGTACGAATGTTTTAGCAGCGTTAGAAGTTGGATTAATGGCTGTATCATCGGCCCAAAAAAAACACCCAAATAAATATCTACCCATTATCGTCCTTCTTAGTGACGGAAAGCCAGATACCCGGTCTAGTGTTGCAGATAATATAACTTATATCGACGAAGTGGTAATTATATTTCTATAATTTTATTACAATTTATTAAAAAAAATAAAATAGGTATATGTATGATAGAATAACGATATATATATATATATATATATATATATATATATATATATATATATATATATATATATATATATATATATATATATATATATATATATATATATATATCGAGAAAAGGAGTACGACCGTCAGTCCAATATAAAATAAGGATCACTCGAAGAGTGGCGGGTTTTTCGGTCAAAAATTGGAGAAAAAAGACAAAGATGATGGCTACTTCATCTATTTATTGAAAACGTTTTGCTATCCAATTTGATAGTATCATCAGTTCATCTAAAAAGAACAATATGAAAAACCTAACATCCAATAAAAAGCTATTAAGTATGTTAAAAACCTCAAACCTCAAAACCTCAAAAAGATATGTAGCAGTCAATGATATTAACAATTATTGTAAAGAAGCTTACGACAATGGACATTGTATAATTATGTTGTATAAACAATAAATTGAACTAAATATAGTTTACAATTTTCATAAAATTAGCACAGCAAAAAAAACATGTGATAGTTGTACATGTATGTTAAAAAAAGGGTGTACCCGCCACTCTTCGAGTGATCCTTATTTTATATATATATATATATATATATATATATATATATATATATATATATATATATATATGTATATATATATATATATATATATATATATATATATATATAGAGAGAGAGAGAGAGAGAGAGAGAGAGAGAGAAAAGACTAAGAACACAAATAACAGAACAGATAATAAGCTATTTTGGACATGTGCTTCGAAGAAATGGTCTTGAAAAACTTACCATCCAGGGAAAAGTAGAAGGCAAAAGAAGTAGAGGTAGATCTCCTACACGATACACGGACCATATTGTTGCTACCATTGGCGCTTCACTGTCAGAATGTGCTAGATTGGCAGAAGATAGAAAAACGTGGAAGAACATTGAAAAAATTACCTAACAGCTTCATGATATCACCATATCAGACATCATGACATCATTCATACCTGCATCAGGTTAACGACTAAGAAGAATATATATATATATATATATATATATATATATATATATATATATATATATATATATATATATCGAGAAAAGGAGTACGACCGTCAATCCAATATAAATTAAGGATCACTCATTAATTATCATATTATTAATATGATTAATAATCTCAGTTCCAAATGCTATGAACCTTGGACTGTGAAAGTTGAATCAATCTGCACCTGTGGCCGGCTAACCAGTCACAACGTAGACTTATTAATATATGATATTTTGGATTGACCTCGCTTGTTTGTTCATTGTTTCTCTCAACCAATCACTGGGGGTAAAATGGTGATCTTAACCACTTTTTCCTTTCATTTTTTGGTTTTTTACTGACAAGTTGTCATCCAAATTTATCATATTCTTTAAATGCACCACTCTAATGCACTAGAGGTTGGTAATTGCCTTGCTGTTCTGTCATATTTTTACCTCAAGGCCACTGTCTTTTCACATTGTTTGCGTGGGTATTCTACCTGTTGCTTTCATTTACCCTCAGCATCTAATAAGCTAAAGACTGGTAAATTCAGTTTCCTTTCAATATTATATTTCAATCTTAATCTATTCAATAATGTTACCTAAGGTCAAAATAAAATTTAACTAACAATATATTATTGGAAGTGCATCTTATGATCTTTTTAGTTCCCTGCATATTATCATTACATAAATTTTTTATGTACATGTACAATTGCCACATGTTCTTTTGCTGTGCTAAGTTTGTTAATTTGAAAACTGTATCTAGTTTCAGGTAATTTGTTATACAACATGATCTAAGAATGTCCATTGTCGTAAGCTTTTTTACACGTTTAATATCATTGACTGCTACATGTCTTTTTGAGGTAACACACTTGTAATAACTTTTCTATGGATGTTTGGTTTTTCATACTGTATTTTTAGATGAACTGATGATGCTTTCTGATTAGAAAGCAAAACGCATTTAATAAATGGATGAAGTAGTCACCTTCTTTGTGTTTTTTCTTCACCTTTTGACCGAAAAACCCATCACTCTTTGAGTGATCCTTAATTATATATATATATATATATATATATATATATATATATATATATATATATATTATTTTAATAGGTGAATTACAGAGGTTTGATCGGTCAATTATTGACAAATGAAAGACGTTAAATACTTTATTGGTTTACTAGAATACGTTTCGCTACAGAACTACTACTACTACTTACTTGACATTAAAACTTAACAAACCAAACTAGAAAAAAAAACACAAGAAAAACTGTATGCGAACAATATTGTTCATTTATTTAGATTTTGTTAAAGCTCTATTAAGGGTCAAACCACACTACTATACGTTCAGTTGTTTGCTATTCGTTGTTGAACATCATAATTTCAAATGTGACTTGCTTTCGTACATGTGTTTATTCGGAATGCAAATAGGTACGATTATCGAGGAAACTGGAAAAGAAAAAACCCCGAAGTTTGTTTGAAAAGGATTTAATTTTTTTATGTATATTATATTCGATGGAGAATGGACCAATTTAGATTATAAGCTAAAAAAAAAAAAAATTAAGATATGAAGTTCTTTTTTGTGCTGTATGGGATGTTTTATCTGTTCTGTATGATGAGAAAGTGATATATCTGGCTCAAGTTATCGACGTCGGTTCTTTTACTTAGGGAAGCTGGATGTTTTATAATTTGGCACATTTTAAAGATTGATCGCCTATGATAATTTTGATGTTTGCGCAGTATTTTGGTATTCGTGAAATTGATATTGTGTTTAGTTGAAATTGCATGTTGTGTCAGGGCTCAAGATCTAATAGAAATCCTAATGTCGCTTTTGTGGGACGTTAGTCGACCTTGAAGAGAGCAGCCGGTCTGGCCAATATAGCAATAGTAGCACTCTGCACTTGATATATGATAGACGACATTAGTTTGTTCTAAAGGGACCAATGGAGTTTTTGTCTTTGAAAATAGCGTCCTATGGTTCTGGTGTTTTTAAAGGCTATTTTAACAGTTCATTTTACATTTAACAGCTCTATAATTACAATAATTATGCTCCTAGATATTATCATCTCCCAAAATTCACAAGGCATAAATAAGTATGCGATATACATTTTATCGTCAATAAATACTCCGAAGACGAATATAGTTCAATTTTTAACGAACATTCTTTTACAGACGTACAATTATTATAATAAGGACTTCAACATAACAGATTCTCTCCAATTTAGTGAATATATTAATAATTATTCATTCTTTACAAATTCACAAATCTTCCAATTTCCAGTATATTAACTTCTCTCCGCAACCATTGAAATCAAATTCAACCCCACAGTCCGGTATCTTGGGACACTTTCTCCGCATGAATAAAATTGACCTTTAATACCAATTATTTAATTTTCAATGACAAATATTATGGTCAAATTTTCGGAACAACTATAAGATCCACGATTTCTCCTATTCTAGTCAACTTTGTACTGGACGATCTTATTAATGAGGGTATCAAGAAGTTAGATTTCCAAATACCCTTTGTAAAACGGTATGTCGACGATCTGATTTTAGCAACTCCACCGGACACAGCACCTTATCAGTTTTTACTGCTTTACTGCACGTTGATATGACCGCTGTACAAAGATGAATCTCTCAATCTCCTGAAGTCCATTCTCATAGATAACGCCTATCCTCCATTCATCATCAATAAATTTCTATATTCCAAAAGCTATGGGGATCCCACACCCAACGGACTAACATTATCGTCCATTTCTAATATAATACACGTGAATAATTCCTCACTCATCCCCTAACAAACCACAAAATATGGTTCGCTCCCGTACTTCCCACCAATCACGAACACGCCTACCAAACTTTTCAAAAACTTAATTGTTAAAATAGCCTTAACAGGCACCAGAACCGTAGAAAAGTAATTTCCGAAGACAAAAACTCCACTGGCCCCTTTAAAATAAACTAATGACGTCTATCATATATCCTGTGCAAAGTGCAACTCCTGCTACATTGGCCAGACTAGCCGCTCTCCTCAATGTTGACTAAAGTACCACAAAAGTGATATTAGGATTTCTAAACCATCTTGTGCCTTGCACAACATACAATTTTAACTAAACAGTATCGATTTCACGAATACCAAAATACTGTGCAAACAACAAAATTATCATAAGCGATTCATCCTAGAAATGTGCCAAATTCTAAAATATCCACCTTCCCTAAATAAAAGAACTGACATCGATAACTTCAGCCAGATATTTCACTCTCTCATCATAAAGAACAAATAAAAAACCCCATACAGGACAAATAAGAACTTCATATCTCTATTCTTCTTCTTTTTTTAAACTAATAGTCTAAACTGGTCTCTTCTCCATCGAATATAATATAATTTTTTTAATCCTTTTTAAAAACCTTTTTTTTCTTTTACCAATTCCCTCGAAAGTCATACCTCACTGCATTCCAAATAAACAATGTACGGAATCAAGCTACATGTAGAACTATAACATTTAACAACGGATAGCAAACAACCGAAAGTATACTCGTGTGGTTTGACCCTTGAAAGAGCTTTAACAAAACATCCAAATGAACCCATGGGCCAAAATAAAAAAGAATTACCTAAAAACTAAATAAAAAAATCATAAAAATCTACAAATTGTTTTGTAAGTATGAATCCTGTTCGTTTTGTACTTATACTTTAATATCATTACTTTTTGTAGAAAAGTGAGGATGCTTTTAAAAAATAATAAAAGCAAAACGTATTCTAGTAAACCAATGAAATAGTTGACGTCTTTCATATGCCAATAATCGACCGATAAAACTGCTGCAGCCTTATGTAAAAGGGATTTCTCCCATACAGGATTCTTCTGTCTATCGTATTGCTAGATATTTTAATGTCGTGTGGTGATCCCTGCTTAGAGTGATTTCAATCAAGCTTAGTTCGCTTACCTCCAGCGGCATGCATGCACTGGTATCTCAGTTTAAGATTCAGCAGGAATAGGAGCAATAAAATTTTTAAGGTACTAGCACCTCTACATCTTATTAGAAGCTATATGTAGAATAAAAAGCTATAATGCCTGCCTATCGGCTAAATTGATCTGGGCTTTGGTTGATGAAGACCGGTCGGGCTGATCACTATTACATTTTTAGATGCTCCTGCTCGGTTTACTTGCCTTATTGTGACGAGTAGGTAGAATGAAAATCAGTTATGGAGATAGTTAATATAGCTTACTTTGGCAGGACAATTTTTATCTACCCTGGCCATCAGACGGCCCTAAAGGCTCTGGAGGCATCCAGAGTTAGTTCCAAGGTTGGTTAAGAATGTAAAAGCATCCCAATATACTTACACAATGGGATTCGTCCATGGCCTCTGGTATCAGAATCTGTGATGTGATTGAAATGTACTTAAGTATTGTCTGAAGTACTATCAAGGAGAATCCATGATGTTTTTGTTAATGATGTATATGATAGGTTTTATGTAGCGGGGTCGTCTAAAAGTCTCTTAAATCCTACTTAACCGTGGGAAGTTCCCATTGGGGATCAGTATGCTCAGACGACACCTATATAAACTTGGACTAAAAACAGCCTAAGATGTCGTCGAAAACTCTTCTTATGTCTACTGTAAGATCCCAGCATTGGCATGCCAAAGGTAGGTTTAGCGTTTATCCAGCCAAATAACCGAAAGAAGAAAAAATACTATTAAGAGATTAGATGCATTGATCAGTTGGGTGGACTCATACTCTGGGCCCCTTGGTGAATAACAGCAGTCTTAGAACAGCTAAGTTTCTGAGTGCCTAAGACGGAGACGAAAAGAAAATTGTCAATGTCGTCATATTTCGGAAAGTAGTTGATGAAAAATTAAATAAATTCGATCAGAATATAAGAAACTGAACTAAGAAATTGACCTATTTGAGTATTTTTCATAAAAGATAACACCTATTTTTATTGTATAACTGTACTGTTGTAGATAACAACATTGAACCAAGCTAGTTATAAAACTCCAATATATTCGTTATCCTTCGGTGATGTACCGATGGAATACAGAAACTTCCTGATAAGCCTAAGTGACCATAATTTTGGGAAGGAGCATAAGGTTTTTGTTGACTTTGATTCATCGCAATATATTCAAAAATTCTACGAAACTATTTCTGTGCCTTTGTTAAGCAACGTCGCTGTCAATAATTTACCACCATCAGCTCAAATCACTAAAATAAATTTCCCAATTTTTTTTAACGGATCGGAGTTGGTGATTGCTGGAAAAGGTATGACATTTTATTTAAAAATATATTAAATTATTGGTACCTATTTATTACCTTTTTTGATTTGGTAGACTGAACATGCTGCAGCCAATTGGCTTTTTGTTTTTATTTACAGTTAACAAGAGACCTTACAAAACTAGAAAGGTTGATCTGTACCCTATAATAATTTGTTTCTGATCCTCTGCTGCGGCACGTTGCTGTGGTAAATTTTTTAATTTAATTGTTGATTTCTACATGATGACTCTGCAATATTTTCAAATCCCAACATAAATTTATTACAGTTTTATATCATTATATCCATTGGCCGAGTTGATAAGTTGTGTCGGGAGTAATTTTATCAACTACTCTGTACCATTTATAACTTTATATATAATATGTTACTGCTCTGCTGTATCAGTCAGAATATAATATCTGCTATTGTAGCATTTGCAATTTCATTGATTTTTTTGGTGTATATTGAAATCCCCTCATGAGTATTTTTGATACATTTCAGTTTCCTATCGTACAAGTTAAAATACGCAAAAAGTATTTCAAGTAATATAAACCATCTTAGAGTTGTTTATTTATTTCGTAGCTGCGTAATTTTCCTCGATATTTCTTTGTTCAAACCGCCCAAAGTTGCGTTTTAAAATTAATAATTTACGTCTTAATTTTCGTTGTGTTTTGTTTATACCCAGCATCTTGTTTATTCCAACTTATGTTAATTAATTTTAAAGATAATTTCATCACTCTCGTTGAAGCCGAGATGAAGAGCGGTGGTCTTAAACTTTATGTCCAACTTCACGTAGAATTTGTAAAGTTTTCTGTTTTTGTCCATTTTCATAGAAAATGTGTAGTAGCAGTGTGAACTTAATGGTTCAGTTAAATTTTTGAGTGAGGATTGGAAGAATCGTCATTTCCATCCTCGTTTTGTTTCTCCCTGGTTGTCATCCAACGCTTTTTGGCAGTATGGAGATAGATTTGTTCGTGTGTTCCTTGCACAGAGACTGAAGCCCAGGTCTACCCCCAGTTATAGTTCCAGTTATGGTTCTAGAAATTCCAGTGACGTCCAGTTAAAGAAAATTTAAAGGGTTTTAGTGAAAAAACATTATTATTGGCATTAATTTGTTTTGTTTTAAAAAAAGGTTAACCTCTATGCGGTAACATTTGCAAGTTTTTGTAGTATCTCGAACTCCTAGAGTTTGTAAATGGATGACATATAAGTTTTTTTTGTATTTTTGTATTTTGCGACTATTGATGTAATATTTTTGGATTGTCTATTTTGTAACTGTTTGTGGTAAGACACTATAAATGTTAAATTTTGTTTTCTTAACATTTTGTTTATTTTTTTAACTAACCCTTTTTTGAGTTTCAGTTAAAAAAGACATGTTTTTAATTTTTAATAATTATTTCGATAGTGACAACTAGCTGTTGTAATTTGTTGTTTCGATAGTTATAATTAGGCACCTCAAAGTGGTGTCCTTTTTAAATTACTAGAGGTGTTTCCTGTTTCGTTTTGTTTTTATTTGTCCCAAGAGATTCATGACCCTTTGTTTCATTTTTTGTAGTTGCCCCAATCCAACCCCCTTGCCATCTACTTATCCACGATCCCAGCTCTCGTAACAAACCCTGAGTGCCGTTCGCATATGTTTCGATTATTTTGCTTTCCCTATCTCCACCCCAATAGTTTCTGCTCTCAACTTTCAGCCCCCATATTAATACCACATGTGGTAGGCAAAATATATTCGTCACACTATTCATACAGTGAATTTATTAACAAACATGTTTTAATGATTTTTGTTTAATTGTTTGTGACGTATAATGTAGGTTTATTAAATAATCACAGTTACGCCTTTACAGAAACATATTGATATTAGAAAAATAAGGTTCCATACACACATATCACTGAAAAATGATTCATGTTATGTAAACACTGTCATCGACAAAAAAATTATATAGGTAAAATTATGTAGGTAGTTGGGTGGCGGTATCTGTGAATATCGTATTACCATCAAATTTATAGTTGTCATCATATATAACAGTGTTGTTAATAGTTAAAAATTAAATCATCTAGTATTATTTAATATCTTAGTGGAAATTTGTTCTCTTTTGAGTGCCTCTCCTATCGGAAATTGGATTTCATTATGGCGATTCCAATTTTGTTTACTGCTGTTTTGAATAATTCGTTAGTGGTACAGCCAAATCACTTTCTTAAAATTTCTCATCCAGGACATTCTTCTACGGCCTGGATTTCTGCGTCCTTGGATTTTTACTTGCATTATATTTTGTAATAATGTGTACTTTTGTCCTCTTATCAGGTGGCCTAAGTATTCAAGTTTTCTCTTTTTTATATTCATAATAACTTCTGGATCGTTATTTATTCTGCGTATTACCGCGTATTAGGCAATACGCAGAATAGTGGGAATTACATTTAGGTAAAATTTAATTTACAATGGTCAATCGCCAAACATGTTATTTAAAACATGTGAACATGTCTTCCTTTTGATCTGTCTATTACTAGTTTCAGATTTGTTATTTTCTTAATTAGTGCGTCTTCTTCTCTTCTTTGTATATGTCCATACCATCTCAGTATTTGTGCATTAATAAATTTTACTTTGTCTTCCCCTTCGGTTATATTTCTATTTCTTATTTCATGCTACATTAGTCTTCTAAATTCTTCTTGTTCTGTTTTTATTGGGTTGTGTTTTCTCATAATTTTTCTTTCCATATTTCTTAGTTTTTCTTCATCTTTTATCAATTATTATCATTGGCCCATTATCAAGTACAAAAATAAAAACAAAAAATAAGTAGGTGAAAAACAAAATAAAGAGTGAGAACAATATAAATAAACAAATCACTATGTAAATAAGATTTAAAAAAATACAAAAAACATTAACAACCTAAGGTACTCCATAAACCAGTGCGGTATCAACCAGATGATTAATTGAGCATGAGAAAATATCACAATGGTTGCATATTTTGTTATAATTATCGCACATAATATAAATGAGTGACTTTAGTAACATCTTTGTTAGTAGTCGACCTAGAAGTAATTCTTGGCACATTAAATCTACTTTGACCTAATATATCACTGCAGTCAATACAGTTGTGTAACAACTTATATAAAAATGAAACCGAAAATATAATTCTTCGTTATTCTAAACTTTCAATATTAAACCTGTTACATAACAAATCGTAATCATAACCATGGACGGGATAATAATATACTCCATCAACCTTAAATACTAAATATTTTAAATCCACAAGGAATCTACGTTCCTGTAGTTGGCTGTATACCATGTATTAAAAATTTAATTAAAAATCCTTTGTAAAAGGTATATTTTAGGCCCAAACGGGCTAAGTTAACAAGACAAAACGTTTTCGGAAACCATGTTCCATCATCAGTGTCCTAGAAAATAGTTAACCACTTAATTAAAAAGAACATAGGTTAAAATTTTGACTAAGGTTAAAGAACAATGTGGTTAATACTTACTAGGAGTACATGAATGAAGCCACCAAGATTAAATATGTGGGTAAAAACCCGATTACATATGTTTAATTACATTTAGTTTTAAATTAATGTTGAAATGATATAAGATTACAGAGTTACCGATGGATTTGGTAACATGGCGACATATGACTCCACGTTGAAGTTGCTAGTCCTGAGACGGTATGTCTTCGAGGACTATATGAGTGCAACTGATTGGCAATGACATTTGATGACAATATTGTTAAGTTATGACGGAAATAATCACAGAGCAGTCAATGTAGCTGTATGTTTCTACTTAAGACAAGGCCCTTTATGTTACTTAAGTAACATAAAGGGCCATATAATTAAAATTTTTTCTATATTTCATTACTACATACATGCATAGTTGGTTGCCTAACTACAACCATAAAAAAATTTTGCCCCCTTATATCATCTCAATTTCATAAATTAAAACTACAACTTTGATGGTTGATACTGTTATATTAATGTACTTAATTTTTCACAATTTTAAATAACGTTGGCTTTTGTCTTAAGTAGAAACATACAGCTACATTGACTGCTCTGTGATTATTTCCGTCATAACTTAACAATATTGTCATCAAATGTCATTGCCAATCAGTTGCACTCATATAGTCCTCGAAGACATACCGTCTCAGGACTAGCAACTTCAACGTGGAGTCATATGTCGCCATGTTACCAAATCCATCGGTAACTCTGTAATCTTATATCATTTCAACATTAATTTAAAACTAAATGTAATTAAACATATGTAATCGGGTTTTTACCCACATATTTAATCTTGGTGGCTTCATTCATGTACTCCTAGTAAGTATTAACCACATTGTTCTTTAACCTTAGTCAAAATTTTAACCTATGTTCTTTTTAATTAAGTGGTTAACTATTTTCTAGGACACTGATGATGGAACATGGTTTCCGAAAACGTTTTGTCTTGTTAACTTAGCCCGTTTGGGCCTAAAATATACCTTTTACAAAGGATTTTTAATTAAATATTTTAAAAGTTTCCGTTGTACCTTTTCAATCTGTTGCATATAACATTTACAAATGGAATACCAAATTTAGCTACAATATTCTAGTTTTGTTTGCACTAGCGATAGATACAGCAGTTTAATCGATCTTAAATCGCTCAAATTTCTACAGTTTCTGATGATAAAACGGTACATTTTCAGAGCATCGGATACTTTCTGTTTAATATGGTTGTTAAATGTAAATTTTGAATTAAATATAACTCCTAAGTCTTTAATGCTATTACATTTTTCAAAATCTAACCCCCGAATTACATAATTAAAATCAACCTTAGTTTCCTTTCTAGAATAACTTACTACTTTACACTTATTGACATTAGAAAAAAGTTTGTTTTTTACACACCAAATATCTATATAATTTAGATCGTTCTGTAAATCTATACAGTTAGCAATTGTTTTAATTTCACAGTATATCTTAAGATCATCCGCAAAACATAAATTTCTGATATTGATATCTAAAAACAAATCATTGATATATAAGAGGAACAACA